ACTAATTAATCTTCTTCTTTTTTATTGACAGACTATGGCCTACTACTTTCCCATGCTTAAAATTCTTAATTTTTCCAGTTTAAAATATATTTTTGATGTAAAACGGTGTACTGATTGGTCGCGAATGGCGCCAAATTTAAACTTTTATTTTTTTATTAATTTTAACAAATCGTAGACTTTTTGAGCGAAGAAAACCTTTTATATACCCGATTTTACATAAATATTTAGCAATTTCAAATTGTACAACATTTCTGTCTTTTTTCAAAAGTGCGTACAACAGTACAACCGCATAACTGATTGTACAACTTTTTGTACAATTGTACAACCAGGAACAACACTGATCGCAGTTCCTCCTGTTAAGGGCGTGCATTGGAACAGAGAAGTCTGACCAAGTCCTCCCAGAGAGAGACAAAATAAAGTTATCCGAGAGGTGCTGCCTCTAGTTAGCAACTAAGTAACAAATATAAGTTCTGCATTTTCGCATTTGCGAATAAAAATGTATTCTTTTAAACTCGCAGGTACGGGCTTTTGTATGGTATAGATTGAAATTTTTTTGACTTTGCCTCCCACTTCGGTGTCACAAGCTGAATTTTTCAGGAATGAAAGTACATGATAAGCTTACCCTTATTCCGGAGGTAATACAAAATTAGACAGTGCAAAAAGGCACTATCATAAAAAATCGAGTTATTGATACCACCATATAGAAAAAAAAATGCTTATTTTTTTGTTGTAATGCACAATAAGGTCTTTGTAGGAAGTATTTTTTTATAATTATTCAAAAAAAATCATTTGCATTAGCCCTTATGGTCGAAAAAAAATTTAAACGTCAATATCTCGGTTTCAACCGTCCACAAATTTGTATAAAAAATCTTTTTTTAGAAATATACCTCTCATTTGACGAAAAACGAAGGCCTAAATGAGAAAAAACTATTCTTCATAAAAGTTTCGCCAATGTATTAACAAGGTAACAGTGCTTTCCCCATATTTTTTGCTTTTATAATAACAAAAATATAGCAATAAACAATTAGTTATGTCATGGTTTAACTAGAAAGCAAACATTGAAGGTAAAGTCTCTCACTCTCTATTCTTCTCTCTCAGTGCTAAAATGTATGCAATCAGTTTGACTCTCTCATATTATTTTATACACGGATTATTGATTTATACGCTATGATTTATTTTTTTATTTTTTGAGGAAAATAAAAAATAAGAAAATATGAACTATTTATTGAAGGTATAAACACAGTATATATAAGTATCGATTAAAAACAGTAAGGCTATTGCTTTGCAAAATACAATAAATTCCCAATGTAAAAAACATTATAATAAAAATAATTAAAAGTATATAAAGCATAAATTAATAATATTAAAATTTATAGTACAAGACTTTTAAACTAATCAGAATAAGATTCACCACACGAATCAACATTTTCCAAAACATTAGCGACTGTGGTCAAACTTTTTCTGCAGTTTTTCTGTGCCATACAGGTAGGTGCAGGAACCGATGCAGCCAATATTTTTTTCCTGCATTTGCAAATTTTGCTTTCTTAGCTGAAGGCGAAGAGAGACATGCACTGAAAGTCGATGAATTGGCGGTGGGAATTAATTACAGCGTAAACCTATGACATCTCTCATCGTTTCTTGTTATATCTTTGTTAATTCAAAAGCAGAAATATGGTGTTTACTCTGTTACCTTGTCAACACATAAACAAAATTTTTATGATTTCTTTTTTCATTTAGGCCTTTCTTTTTTGTTAAATGAGTGGTATATTTAAAAAAGACGACTTTTTAACCAAATTTTTGAAGAGCTGAAACTGAGATATTTACGTTTACTTTTTTTTCTGCCGTAAGTACTAATGCAAATGATTTTTAAGTATAAACAGTTACTCCCTTCAAAGATTTTATTGTGCATTGGAACAAAAAATGAGTAATTTTTTCTCTATTCGGCGGTATCAATATCTGGTTTTTTGGCGATAGTGCCCTTCTGCACAGTCTTATTTTGTATTACCTCTGGAATAAGGGTTACCTTATCATGACCTTTTATCTCTGAAAAATTCAGCTTGTGGCAAAAGAGTGGGAGGTAAATCGTTTTCTAGCGCGAATATTTTAATACATACACTCTACGTAAGGGCATCAACTAGGTAGATAGGTTCTGTAAAGTATGAACAAAGAAGTTCTTTAGTGGGCTTCAATTTATTTTCTATAGGTACCTATGCCTTTATTTATAACAACACGGTTATAAAAGCAGAATGCGAACAATTGAGTTGATCACCCCAATGCTGACAAGCTCTATTAGTGCGTAATTGTTTAATATTTCAATTTGTGTTATTGACACGCCAATAAGTTTTAAATAAAAATTATATAAATTTAAAAAAATACGTATTTTAAAAATATTTTTGAGTACACTTGGTGTTGCGTTTTTGTCTGGCAAATAAATAGAACATTCTGTATTTTATTTTAGTTTTAGAATGATTTAATAGTACTGTATGTAGCCCTAGAAACTGTATGTAGCCCTAGAAACTGTATGTAGCCCTAGAAACTGTATGTAGCCCTAGAATTTCGTTTAAAAATATAACAGGTTTGTCAAGCCATTATTTTTTTACGAAATTAGAGAATGATGCAGATCCCAAATTAAATTATCATAATTTAGGTAGGTTTACAATGATTTAAAATTGTTTTAAATACATAATTATAAGATACTAAGCTAACGAGTAGTGGTGATAGAATTGGTTTATTTTATGTCTTAAATATAACCAATTTTAAGTTGAATTTCGTCAATTTTTTCAAATGCAAAATTTTAGCATAAAATTTCTTTAAATTTACCTATTCAACGATACTAACATGTTAGCCAATAACACAAATACAGGGTGTCCCATTAGTGCATAATTGATCAATAGCTGTTTTAATATTGGAAATACGAAACACAAAAATAATAAAGTTGTTTGACCGTGTTTAATAAAAATTCTTAAATATACGGTGTGTTACATAAACGAGGGGCTGACCCATATCTGCTTGTTTTCACATCGTCAATCAATTTTAATAGACTTCATTTATTTGCTATGTTGAATATAGGGTGTGTTAAAATTTTCAATTTTCTCAATTTTTTTAAATGGAATACGCTATATGTTATACCACCAATTGATTAATACAGGGTCCATTTACAAAATTGAGAAAATCGTAACCTCACGTTTTGACACACCCTACACAACATAGCAAATTAATGAAGTTAATTTTATTAAAATTGATTGACGATGAGAAAACAAAATTAGTATAACAACCTGCAGGGTGTTTTGCTTTTAAAAAGTATAGATTTGGTTCGCACCTCGTTTATGGACCACCCTGTATATTTAGGAATAATTGTTAAATATAATCATACAACTTTTATATTAAAAATTTCGTTGTATTTCTAATAATAAAACAGCTATCTATCAAATATGCGTTATTGGCTAACTATTGGTATCGTTGTATAGACAAATTTTTAAAGAATTTTATGATAAGATAATATACACGATGATGCATTTTAAAAAATTGAGTAAATTGAACTTAAAATCAGTTCTATCTCCACTATTCGTTAGCTTAGTATCTTGTAAGTCTGTATATTAAACAATTTTGAGAACAATGTAAACCTACCTAAATTATGATAATTTAATTTGCGGTCTGCATCATTCTCTAATTTCAAAAAAAATTAATGCTTGGCAATAGTGTAATATTTTATAAAAATATTCTAGGATTGAATACAGTATTACTAAAATATTCTAAAAATAAAATACAGGGTATTCTATCTAAAAAATATACATTTTTATTTGCCAGGAAAAACGCAATACCCTGTATATCCAAAAATATTTTTAAAATATCTATTTTTCAAATCTATATAACTTTTATTAGATTAAATTTGAAGTTTAAAATTTACTGTTTATTCATTTTTGAATTATCGTTAAAACCTAAAGTACAGTTACAGTTGAAAACTACAAGTCGAAAAAAAAGCAATCCTATACTTTACTGGATACATGAAAGTTAAAACCTAATTAAAAAAAAAAAATACATTTAAGCATATTAGATTTGTATGAATATTTGAAATATTCAATTTTATAAAACAATTAAAAGTACCATTAACACCTAGGCTCCAGTATCCAACAAAATAAGCAAGCAATAAATTTTTACCATCTCCGTGCAGACATTTTCCGATCTCAAAGTATACAGTTGAGGCTTTCTCTCATTACTTACATATCCTTCATGCTCTTACGCAAATATTGAATATGTTTAATTCTTACAAAATTAAAAAAATCGAATACAAATCAACTTAATAATTGAAATGATATACATTTATACATATTAGTAAACTCCTAAATAAGGACCTGCATATTTGAATTTATTTTTATTTTTATTCAAGACGACTTTAGCGCCATCTATTAGAGAAGCTCCGAATTAACATGTGGCTACTGTATGCAATTTTAGGAAGTTTTCTTTTATATTTTAGGCAATTATTACACATAAATGGCGATTTATAATTTATTCCAAAATTTACTTCAATGAGCTTTTAAGAAAATTGACGCAATTAATTTAGATATTTTAAGTGACATTTGTTGCTTTAGTATATAGCCTATTCAAAGAAGAATTATTTTCATCATCGGGTAATTATTACTGGTATATTTTTAGCTTTATTTCATCGTAAAAATTACCATATTTTGGGAATTATTTTTAAACGATCCCTTATAGTTAGAGACACCAAAAACCTTTATTGAACAGTAGTATATATCTATTATCGGCAGGAATTTTTTCACTTTTATCTTTGTTGTAGTTTCAGCTAAAAAGTCATTGAAAGAGAGTTGTGTATGCCTATGTTAAATACATTGCCCACGCCCGCCAAATTTAAGCTGAATATGTATATTTTAGAGAATATAGATAGGCGGTAAAATTTGCTTATGCTCTTATTTATGTAAATATTCAGAAACTATTATAGAATAAATTGCTCTTTTTGGTTTTGGAAAATAATAACTATTGTGGATGGGAAAATATTTATATATTAAATTATATTTGTTATTTATTAATTAACAAAAATTATTCGTAGCTTCTGAAAGTAGCGTTTAATTTATTAATAACTAGTTTATTCACTAAAACTAAATTATACTTAATGGTACAATAAACACTTATATGTATAAATAAAAAAGATTAAGCGATATATTATTATTAGTAAAAACAATTTTACAAGGTATACATTTGGTAATTGTGTAAACAATTTATAAAGGTGTTCTCAACATCTGAAGGTCCATCTAAAAAAAAATAAAACAACGTCATACAATTAAAAATTAAATTAATTCAATGTAAAAACTTACTAATGGGATACCAGGAAGAGGAAGAATTGTCGAAATATTTTCTCACTGTCGATGCAGCATTTCGTATCGCTAGAGGCACGGTAACAGCTAAACACAGGGCTGGTTCTCCAACGGCTAAAATAACATATCCACAACTTTTATAAATTAAGTCGCTAAAGTACAATAGAAACTACTACTTTAAGTTTTAACCGACATCATTTATAACGATTAAAAAAGTAGCGGCCCTAAGTTAGATCCCCGTGATCAAAAAATCACTGTCTGAATCAAATTTTCTCTTTTGCATTGAAATTTATTTCTTATAATTTTTGACGAACTCACCTTTCGACTTCAAAACTCCTACAGGATTGGGATTTTTACCGGGAAGCTTTATCCTAAAATCAATAGGAATGTCTTTGGCACCCGGAGGAGTATAATTCCAAGTTCTATTGGACAAAATTTCCCCGTTTTCACCAACTACGACCTTTTCGGTGGTAAAATATCCCATGCCCATGACAAAAGCACCTTCGATTTGACCAATGTCAATTTCGGGATTCATGGTGTCTCCCACGTCTTCCAAAATGTCTACCCTGGTGACCTGATGAAGGCCTGTCAAAACGTCGAGTTCTATTTCCGCGGCGCCAACTGCATACACCTTGTATCTATTCAGATCTGGGCACGCAGAGGAATACCTAAAATAATACATTTTCTTGTGCTAAAAGAATAAAAAAAAAAGAGATTTCTTACATTGATTGTGCAACTAAATTGATATTATTTTTGAAGCTTTCAGTTACAAGATCTTCCCATTTGGGGTCCTGCATTTTTTCTTTTATAGGCTTTATTCTTTCCAAAAGAATGTCGCACGCTTTGCTTACACCCTAAAATAAGGAAAATTTTAAAATTAAAAATGTTAAAGAAAATTATAAAAGTTAAATATTAAAGTAATAAAGTAAATAGCAAAATAAATCAAAGTAAAACGTAAAATAAATCATAAAGTTAAAAGTAAAAAACAATCAGACAACCAAAAAGCCAAAATAGGTATTAAGTTAAAAAGTCAAAAAGTAGAAAGTTGAAAATTTTAAAAGTTCAATACGTTATGAGCCAAAATAATAATAAAAAAAAATTGAAAGTCAAAGAAATGGAAACATTGAAAAATTGCAATGCGTCAAAAAGGCGAAACCCAAAATCTAAAAAGTCAAAGAACATTAAAAACAGTTAAAAAATGTAAAAAAGGTAGCCAAAAAATGTGAGGAAGTTACAGTTACAGATGTGGTCAAAAGGCACAGAAACTCAAGGAAATAAAAAATCAAAATAAAAAATAATAGTTTAATATAAATTTGAGAGAAAAAGAAGAATACAATATTAAAAGAGAAAAAAACAGCAATATTAAAAAATCCAAAAAGGTAAAAATATAAGAGAATAAAATGACGTATATTTTACCTACCCAGCATATTCCTTCACTTGTTAAACTGCCACCGGTCATACCTGAATTCGCTCCTATCACATTATTACTGGCTTTCACGCTTATTTTTTCCATTGGTATTCCAAGTTTATAAGCGCAAGCTTGAATAGCCTAAAAAATAAGTCAGTTAACAAAAAATGGCAAATATCATGCATTTTATTTATTTTAAACCTTACAATGGTTATGAATAAAACAATGCAAAATTAATATTTCTTTGAAAAAATATTGGATTCATAAATTATTGAGATATCAACGGAATAAAAGATGACCTAAAATAGCTCTTTGAGGCACACATTTACGTTAGAAGAAAAAGTCAGATAAAAAAATGTATGATCATTCACCTTTGTATTTACACCTTGACCAATTTCTACCCCTCCATGAGATATCGCTACACTTCCGTCAGCGTGATATATGGCGACCAATACACCCAAATTCGTAAATAGTTCAATGGGGAACACCATTGGTACAACTGACATGCCTTTCTTTTTCCAAAGGTTTTTCTAAAAATTGAAATTTAAATATTGATTATTGCATTCGTAAATTAGTTAAAACACCTACTTCATTAAATTCGTAAATTTCTTGTTTCCTTTTTATAATATCGGCCCACTCTAAGAAATCATTCATATGTTCTATTATTTTTTTGTCTCTCAAATTTTTCATTCTGAATTCCAAGGGATCCATATGTATGACTGACGCAGCATGGTCTAATATACTTTCTAACATTCCTAGACCTTCTACTGATCCTAGAAATACAGCAGAGACAATTAGAGGCATATCTAGACTAAAAAAAACTTTTAAAAAGTGTGAATAAAAAAGAGTGAATTACAAAAAATTCTAAAGTAGGCCATACCAGGCCGCTTCTAAGGGGGAGACAACCAGAACGGCGTTGTCCCGTTAAGTTTGACAGCTAAAAGCCAAAAAAACTGTCAAAAAATGGTTGACAGAATATTAAATAGCTATGAAAAATATTTTCAACACAATATTATTTTCTTTGGAATCCCTAAAAATTATCTTTAGACCATAAAGTAAAAAAAAATTAGTGGCAACTTTCTGCTATGAATTGAGATTATTTACAGACGCATCTAGAGCAATACAAACTTTTTTCACTCGTTAAGATATCCCTCTACTCCCCCATGAGGGGTTTCGGTAGGCTCACCCCATTCAGGCTTGGGTCCAGCCACTAGTTCTCCTCAATAAGGCTTGGGGTCCAGCCTGCTTTTCCTCCTCTTGGGGTTCGCGTAGCGGCACTGAAGCCCAGATGGCTTATTGTGCCACCATTTGGATGCCCCAGTCCTTCCCACTCATCGTCACAAGTTTCACGTTTTTGATGGTTAACCGCCAGTCGGCTAAGTCCAAGGCCGTAGCCATTGGGGGATCAAGGGGGATTGATCCCCCGAAATAAAAAAAAACATTTATTTTAAACTTTTAATAAGTATTAATGAGACTGCAGTTATAAACAGTGCCCCCGTTTCACTTTGTTGTTATACAAAACATTAAATTTAATCACTACAATCAAAATTCTCTACCTACTATTATTTTTATTATAGCGATATTCGAGCGGTCCCTTTGGTTTAAAAATATTTTCGACAAAATTTAGAACCAGTTTTAATAACACGTCATAGATTCTGAAAGCGCCACATACTTTGATTCAAAGTATGTGGAAAGCGCTCAAATATATGATTTTAAAACGGTGACGTCACTAACAGTTAAAATTTGTCAATTTCAAGTCCGTAGGAATCATAAGTTAGTGTTTTGTGGATCCCTAGTCTTTCTCCATAGATATGTACTAAAAGATAATATGAGACACCCAAATTTTTATAAAAGTTAAATCATGTGATATTTAGTATCCGCCTTTAACCAGTTATTTAGAAAGACAACTGATCCGAATAACTTTTCTATTTTTCTCTTATACAAACTAAAACTTTTTTATATTAATTTTATTGTGTACGCTGTCTATGTTTTGATATATGATGCTTAATAATTAGGCATTCCAAACTGAATGGCCTACCAGTGCGTTTTGACGGGTTATGATATGGCAAAATTATGGCAACCCTGTAGGCCTGGTGATTTGACAAGGTCAATGAAATAGATAGTTACATAGATTGATCATCGATATTTTTCAAAATAAACATAAGCTTATGCCTTGAAGTAAAAATGTAAGCAATTATTTTTTTTTAATATCTAAAGGCTAAAAATTGGTTTTAAAACACATTTTTGCTAAACCGATTCAAATTAATAAATATTTGCCAGGCAATATGGTCGCTCGTAAACGACCAGCTTTGAGCAATCTATATAACTATATATGTAGCATTGACCCTGTTAATGACAGCATGACAACAGGGTTGCCATATCTAAACTATCATTACCCACTGGTAGCCATTTGGACAGGTCGTTGGAATGCCTAATTACTATTGTTTGACATTAATGACACTTCTATTTCTTTGAACCGTTTTCGAGAAGACGTTTCAAAAACAGATGCACTTGTTTAAACCTAGTTCAAGGTGACGTCATTGTTTGGTCACCCGAATGAGAATAGTTCAAACTATTTTCAAACCACATGAAATATATTTAAACCAGTTGATCGCTCGAATATGGCTTATGTATGACTTTATGCTCGCTTGGTATTCGCACGACGATACTTAAATAGCGGCGCAGCGACATCTATTAGAGAGCAGCGAAACTACGTGCTACGCCAACTACACAAGCAACGCAACTTCGGGTCGTGCTCGAACTGCATTTCGGGAATATTCAATAAGCATAGAATGAGACGGGTTATTCTCGATGTTTCGTTGGGCCGCGTCTGAGGAATATATAAGCGAGCAGTCGAGCACGGAGAGGCAGTTCTGTCTTGGAAAGTGCGATGCGACTAAGGTGATATAAGCGAAGTAATAATGCAGTGTGTGAAATAATAATGCTGTGAATTAGTATTGAAGTAAGTGGTGTTATAATTTTTGTAATTTAAATTAAAATTAATAGGATTTGATGCCTAAGAGTATTCATTTTCTTTTAAATTTTTATTGAAGTAAATATTTTTGTATAAATGGAATTAATACTTGGCTGTTTTTTTAATTGTTACAGGTCGATTCAACATTAGAAATGGCAAAAAGGACGCAAGAAAATACATTATTCAAATATTTATTTAAAAAATTATTTATAAACCTAATAATTTCACAATCCAAATGGAGTTTTTGACAACCTCCATTGACAACGTCAGAACTCTGATCTGGACAGGGATTCTTATGTGCGTACTCAACACGTAACGAATTGAAGAGAGAGAGACATTACATACAAATCGCATTCTATGGAACGAAGATAGTCGTCTCAACACGTGCCGTATTAAAAGATGAGAATTCCAATGCTGATATATGTATTTAGTTCATCCTCTAAACATTTACAGGGGTGATACTAGACAGGAAAGTCATGTGTTGGACACATCAGAATTTAATACATTAACAAAAGAAAGATGCACTGGTAAAAACTTTGTATTAGAGTCTTGGCTAATTCAATCAACATAACTATCAACTCTACTTAATTTAGAAAACGTCGGTAGGGAACACTATTGCGCAAGTACAATTTGTAATTGGCCAAATTCTTATTTTTTATTTTACCTGGTCCCCTAACATAAGCTGCACTCTGCATATCTGATCTCACCGTCTTAGCGTTGATGTTAAATATATCATTATTATACGGTCCTTCTTGTATTATTTCCAGCGTTATCTCTATGACATCTTCGTTGCCTCCCAAACCATGGTTAACATAAAAATCATTGTTCAAATACTGAATTTTTCCATCTTTACTGATAGCTATCTCATAGTCGCTGGAAATGGCATGCCTTTTTCCAATTATAGCAAAATTCTGCTCCATAGGCAGCCACATTTTTATGGGTTTTTTGAGTTTGACAGCTGCCAGAGCTGCAGCCGTTGATATTTGAGCGTTTCGTACGATTTTGCCACCAAAAGCTCCGCCTACACGTTTAACATGGACATTTATCCTGAAAAAATAATGTCAAACTTGTGTATTTATATAAATAGATTTTGATCAAATGTTTACTTACATATTTGATGGTATATTCAATACAACAGAGGCAGCGAATTGGTTTAAATTCATCCATTGGGTACTGGACCAAATTTCTAACCCATTTTCTTTGTAAACAACGTTACAACATTGGGTTTCCATGTAGAAATGCGACTGCCAACCCATATCCCAAGTTCCTTTAACAACTTTTGCTACATCACGCCCTAGAAGGATGATTTGTATTAAACTTAATCACATTATTAATGTACCTAGTAAAATAAATGTTTCGAGATGTAGCTTCGAAAGACCAGTTCTAAAACTAGCCGATGCAAGAAGTGATAACATGTTTCGAGATGTAGCTCCGAAAGACCAGTTCTAAAACTAGCCAATGCAAGAAGTGATAACATGTTTCGAGATGTAGCTCCGAAAGACCAGTTCTAAAACTAGCCGATGCAAGAAGTGATAACATGTTGCGAGATGTAGCTCCGAAAGACCAGTTCTAAAACTAGCCGATGCAAGAAGTGATAACATGTTTCGAGATGTAGCTCCGAAAGACCAGTTCTAAAACTAGCCGATGCAAGAAGCCATAACATGTTTCGAGATGTAGCTCCGAAAGACCAGTTCTAAAACTAGCTGATGCAAGATGCGATAACATCGATAGGATAATGACTTGATTTGTTGTTTAACCATAAATTATTACTTTTCACTACAAACAGTATTAGAAAATTGCAGAACGTGTACATACTCGTATAGTTAGTTACTAAATAATAGAAATCTTCACAATGTATACACAGCATCCAAAATCGTATCAATACACTCACCTCTATCTTTAGCTTCATGCATCACAAATTGTTTGACCCTATCCATCTTGTTCTTTCTCAGAATTTCTCTCGTCTCAAACTCAGGTTGATCTTCTTTCTGATAATCAACTTCTATGAGATCAGCGGCTTTCTCTGCAAGTTCTCTCGATGTTGCCACTGCCACTCCAATGGGTTGGCAATGGTATTGGACGACACCACTACAAAATAATTCTTCCTCAACGGGATCAGTAGGGAACAGATTTGAACCCAAGGGAGTGAAGGTGTTTCTTCCGGGAATGTCGGTCTTGTCGAAAAACGCTATTACACCATCGACTTCCTAAGAAATAATATAGTATGGTATTATACTAAAGATGCTAAAATTGTTAATGAAACAAGTGTTAAAACCAGGAAGGGCATGAAAACTGACAAAATAAAAAAAATAAAAAATCTAAACCAAAAGTTAAAACGTCAAAATCGAATAACAAAACGACAAAATGTTACAACCAGAAATAAAAAAATAAAACAAAAAACCCAAAAATGTAATAGAAAAATCGATAGTCATTAAAAGTTAAAATGGTTCAAAAGGTCAAAAGTGAACAGAACATAAAAAAGGACAGAAAAGTCAAAAATTTAAAAACGAACAGAAAGTCAAAAAATTAAAGAAGAATTCAAAAAAGTAAAAGTAAAGGTCAAAACGAGAAAGTAAAAAATAAAAAGGTCCAAAAATCAAATGATGAAATAGTAAATAGAAAGCCAACGAAAGTATAAAGAAGTCCGAAAAAGTAAAAAATTCAGTCATAAAAAAATAAAAACGACAGAAAGTAAAAAAAAAAAGAATTCCAAAAAAGTAAAAAAATAGGTCAAAATAAAAAAAATAAAAAAAGCAAAAAATGATAGTAAACTAAAAATGCAAAAAATAAAAAGAATGAAATAAATAACCCGAATTGAAAGTCAAAAACATCGCAAAAATGTAATAGAAAAATCAAAATCGAATGAAAGATAAGAAACAAAATAAATAAAAAAAATTACAAAAAGCCAAAAAATTAAAAAGCAAACAAAGTTAAAAAAGTAAAGAAGGCAAATATTCAAAAAGTTTACAAAATTAAACAAAAATCCAACAGTGAATTCAAAAAACTAAAAAGATAAACAAAATAAAGTCTACAAAATTAAACGAAAGTAAAAAAAGGCCAAAAAGTCCCAAAAAGTACAATTCGCGCATGTCAGAACGCACAATTTTTCTTTTTAAGTTTGAATTAAATTTACAGCCGTGCGTAGTCATCTGTCTTTAGAAGCATTTTTTGTGAATTACTCTTTTATAATTACCAATGCTTTGTCCTTATATATTTTTAAAATTCTTGAAAGAGGCTCAGTTTTGGCTACTACAAAAGCTGCATGTAACTGTTCGGGTAAATCTGGCATGTCAGATATATAATCAGCTTCACCTGAAATATGCAGAGAAAAATATAATTTTTATAAAAAAATTAAAAATGTTTTAAGTAAATTGACAAAATTACAAGTTTTCTGATAAACTGGAAGCATGTAATTTGATTTAATATTTACAAACCTGTCGTCTGATGTAGAGCCTCTTTTTTTGCTACAGGGTACGATATTGGATACATTTCTTTTATAGATTCGTAAATTTGCGTTCCCTTTGATACAGGACGTTTTAACTTATAACGGCCAGTGTAGGTTTTTGCAGATACTAGTTGTTTGGGAGCAATACTCAGGATGTACTAAAAAAAGAAAATGTTTTTTTATGAATTTCACACATTTTGAGCCGTCAATCATTAGCACTGATGAAAACATTGAATTACAATAAACATAAATTGCTATCATGTGGCGTTGAGGAATTCTTAATACTTAATAATACTGATAATTATGTTTATGAATATGACAAATTATTTTGAACTTGAGACTGACCATATTGTTAAAATGAAATGCTACCTACTAAATAAATATTCCAGAACACTGAAGAAGATACTACAAATAAATCTAGAAAATGAGAATTTTTCTTTTGTAGCAAATATCATAAAAAGTTCATTCATGTAGCAAGTTCATGTATCTTTTGTCGATGTTTAGAAAGCCTTTGACAGAATAAAAAGAAAGTAATATAATAAGAACAAGGAAGGCGTAATAATATTGTATGAAGAAAGTATAATCAAGGTAGGCAATATTGACATATTTGAAGCAAGATATATAGGAAAAAGGAACCACAGAAGATGGAAAACATCATGGGTAATAGGAAAACCGTCAAATTTTAGGATAATTTTTATTCACACCAAATTCTTACCTTATAAAACAAGCTTATAGCGCATTTTTTAATGAATTGAGGCTTGGGATGCATTAAATCATACCCAGGCGCCAATTCCTTGTCCAATATTTTAAAAGCTTGCTGCATGACCTCGTTCGTGAATATCTTTTTACCGATTAAATATTTTTCCGTGTCTGTAGCGTGAATTTTCAAGTCCAGACAACCCATCACGATATTGCATTCGTCTACCGTATGTTGTTTAGATAGTTTTAATAAAAAGGCGGCGTTGATTGAGGCGTGCGTGTTTTGGGCTCGTCTCATTATCTGAAAAAGAAGAAGAGTAAGTAGTTTCGTGCAGTATAAGAGGATTAGTTTTTGAAAAAGTTGAGACTTTTAGTAACTATTTAAAAATGAGTCAAAAAGCATAAAGCAGTCGAAAAATGTTCCTGTCGTAAAAAGTCATACAGTTTACAAAAAGTCATAAAAAGTCACAAAAAGTCACAAAAAGTCGCAGTTATTAAAAGTAATAAAAAAAGTCATAAAAAAAGTCATAAAAAAAGTCATAAAAAAAGTCATAAAAAGTCATAAAAAAGTCATAAAAAAGTCATAAAAAAAGTCATAAATAGTCATAAATAGTCATAAATAGTCATAAATAGTCATAAAAAAAGTCATAAAAAAAGTCATAAAAAAGTCATAAAAAAAGTCATAAAAAAAGTCATAAAAAATCATAAAAAATCATAAAAAGTCATAAAAATTCATAAAAATTCATAAAAATTCATAAAAATTCATAAAAAGTCATAAAAAGTCATAAAAAGTCATCAAAAGTCATCAAAAGTAAAAAAGTCAAAAGTCAAAAAAGTAAAAAAAGTCATAAAAAATCATAACATGTCATATAAAGTCATAAAGATCTAAAAAAGTCATAAAAAGTCAAAAAAGTCAAAAAAATAACAAAAATGTCATAATTATCCCAAAAAAGTACTAATTTTTAAACAAAAGTATTTTGTCGGAAAAATAATATCCATAATAATTGAGAATTCGTTTACCTTAAAGCTATCAAAGAAATGCGACTCAGTCAAAAATGGCAGGAAAATTTTCTTGATAATTTTATTTTCCATATCAGTTTTTAAAAACTCGACCGGAGTAACTAGCGTTTCCTTTTCATCCACGTCAACTAAAATAATTATATATTAAAAAAAAAATTAGAACTGAATTTTCTGAGTTAATTTTTGACATCTAAGTGAAAAATGGCGAAATATGGGGAAAAAGTTTATTGATTTGCGAAAGAAATGTGCTAAATTGGTAATGACATAATTTTGGTTGCACTGACAATTACAGTGACAGTATTTTTTTTTGAGTGCGTTTTGTTTGTTTTGTTAACCTAAATTATATTGTTCTTACACTTTTTTGAATATATTTCTAGAGTTAGAAATGCATCAAATAATCATTTAATAACCAATTAAGGGGGTGGGCGGCTAAGTGCTAGAGTCTCTGCCTGCGGATCCAATGATCCCGGTTCGAATCCCACCGTTCGCCAGGATTTTTTAATTTAATTTAATTATTTAAAATTAATTCTGATGCCTTGGTAGGATTCCCCACTCGATCATTCACTGTTCGGTTCTAATTTACAGTGATGTTCCTAAAGTGGCGCTGGGAAACAGAACATGAGGTTAGTAACCTTAGTAGTTGATGCCGATGACACCAAATAAAATAACCAATTACACGCCTTTGCTACTTTTTATGACCTACAAACAATATTTAATAAAAAATAAAAAGAGTAAAAAAGTAAAAACGTGTATGTCAAATATTGTTAAAAGTTTGCTTAGAATTAACTGTCAGTGGAAACAACATTACGTCACACTTTTTTGGCGTAGGACGAAGTAATTAAAATGAGATGACAGCTAAAATATGAAACCTAGATAACAGATATACAGGGTGATTTATTTTCAGTTTTTAATTTTTTTCAAGAAAACGAAGCAAGATACAAGAAGACTTAAAGAGCCAAAGAAGTTGTATTTTGGGAAGCTTCATTTAAAAAAATTATAAAAATTTAAGAAAAATCTATTAAATGCTATTCTTTTTTACAAAATACATAACGGACGTGTCCCGTGAGCACATCCTTGTAATCACTGGATTAACCCTAATATTTCCAAAAGATACATCTTTACAATATGAACAAAATATGAAAATGTCAATGAATACGGATAAAGCATATTTTTCATATTAATAAAAATAATTTTTTTTTAAAGAAACTTATATCAGATACGAAGCATTTTCGGACATATACCGATAGGTACCCTTTTCATATTTTGATCCAAGGAATCCAATCTTAAATTTTCTTGCGATATTAACGAATCACCCTTTATAATAATAACAAAATAAATAACCGATTTACCTATTTGTATAATAGCGTTGACAGTTTCCAAAACCAAAAATATATCCGATGGAAATTCCTTGTATTCGTGTTTTATCATGAGATTTCCAGCCAACGTACCAATCTAAAATCATTCCATTTGCAATCATTAAAAAAAAACTACTTTTCAACAAACCCTCGTATTTTTTTACTTACGTTCCTCACCGGTACATTGGCCACCAAATCGATGTGGTCTGCCACCTTTTTCAAGTATCTCAACTTGGGTTTCTGTTCTGATAATTCGTTAAACAACATTATGGCTCTTGATAGTGTCATATTGGCACCTACAACTAGTCCAGTTTTAAGCAACAAATGGCTTTTTAACTCCGATACATCCTGTATATCTACGTAGACTTTGTAGGTAGTTGCCTTTTTATATACTCCTGAAAAATGAAACGAAATAATTTGGGTAAGTATTTTTAGATTTCTATTTGACAGAATTAAAGTAAAAAATAGGTGTTCAAAAAGGAAGAATTACGAGGATGTGTGAGAAATTCTAGAGGATCTATGAGAAATTTTTGAGGAGGTATGAGGATGTACAAGTATGTGTGAGGATGTACAAGTATGTGTGAGGATGTACAAGAATGTGTGGGGATTTGCGAGGATGTATGAGGATTAGGATTACGTGTACAACTTTTTAGTCACACAAAGCTATCAAGTAAATTAGGTACTTTATGATACACCGAGGGAAACATGGTAAAAATATTTTTATTTGTAATTAAATATTTAAATAAAATTTCACACGCTGTATATCAAGTTCTAACAAGCTGGCACATCAGAAAGCGGTACAGAATGTGCGAGGATGTATGAGAATTTCGGAGAAAGTAAGAAGGATGGATAAGGATTTCCTTGGAAGTATAATGTTTAATAAGGACTTTCAAGGACAAATGAGGATATATAAGCGTTTATTTCTACCAAAAGGATGTAGATGTACACAGTGGCGGCTCTTGGCTAAAATATTGGGGGTACACAATGACAGAATATAAATCTCAGTCCAGATTTAGGTAAAAAACTTTCAGTGTTTTAGAAAGGTGTATTATAAACACCTAAATATGCACAGCTGCTTTTAAATGAATTAAATTACCTCGAGCAGTATTTCCAGCCACTATCGTATAAGAATTCACATTTCCATTTTTTACTGGATGAAACGTTTTGATGACTTGCAATAAATCATTGACCGTAGTGACTTTTATCCAAGATAGTCCATCTAGTTTATAATAAAACGGCGTATTCGTGTTCAATGAGCAATTTCCGTTTCTTAATTTTTTTGGACATATTGGTAGGTCTTCAATATCGCCGCATTTGTTTAATAAATCCTGAGTAGCGTCCTTGCAAACTGATTTGAAAGCTGCCAAAATCGATCTGGAATTCAGAAAATGTTTAGTACTTTGACCAATTATTTACATTTGGAAAATTTCATAATCCTTATTCTATCACTAGTTTTTGAAGTCGGAAAATTGGCTATTTATAAAAAATCCACAATTCTTACGAATATTTTTCAATAATAATGCTTTACTAGCATAAAAGATTGAATCACTTACAATGTAATGGCGGTTTTCCATCAAACGGACAAAACAAAAACAAAACAGAAACTCGTGTCGAAAAAACAAAACTGCAACTTTTCGCAAACTTTTTGAAGACTGACGTATTTTGCGACAGTTGGAGTTTTGTTTCTTGAGTCCCGCTCTGAAGCGGTAACATCAAAAGGTTTCGACGTGTTTAGAAACTCGAGTCTGTTTACTTGAAACGGTCGTGTTGTGCTGTTGTGTAATCTAAATTTTGGAGCAAATTGGTATAGGTAAGTGAATAAGTTTATAGATAAATATTAAGTTTGTTCTCAAACGTTGCTTAAATTTATATAAGTATATTAGTAGAATATAAATATGTGTGTCTGAGCCAGACTAGGTTAAGTCCAAATATTGTACTTTTTAAGTTTTTATAATGTCATATAAATCTTTTAAAGTATTTATATAAATATTTTCAGTTTGGACATCTTAAAAGATAAAGACACTGGTTTGTTTTAAAATAGTCAATAGCAAAGTATACAAATTTAACTTTAGACGTGGCCGGTTTCTTAAACAGTAGATATGTGTTCGAAAGCCTTAACAAAGGGACAACTAAAGAAAAATGGTTTCTGAAACGTTCAACAAGAGTTATCCGTTCAATTAGTTATCGAATAGATTTCCTAAAAAATAATATTTTAATCATGAATAAATTACAGTTACTAAAAAATATATACAGTTAGTGTTTACTTGGCTATTTTATACAATAGATGGATAATATACATACTTACTTTTTTTCCAAAGACCTTAGTATAAACCAGCCATGACTAAAAAAAAAATCTCCAAACATATTGGTTAGTTATTGAAAAAAATTCATGTGTTCTGACTCTCTCGTGACAACCAGTAGAAAAGGATCGAAAACAAACACAAAACTGGAACAAAATGTAGTCTTGATGGAAACAAGAGTTTTGGGTTTGTTCCAGTTTTGTTTTTGTTTTTCAAGTTTCAGAAAACACAAACAAAACATAAACTCAACTGTCCGTTTAGTGGAAAACCGTCATAATAATTTCCTATACTTTTAGTTCGTTAATAGTCATGTACTAGACTAATAGCTACCCAACAAACAAAAAGTACTATAAAGGTTGTTAGAACTCTTACACAACATATAGAAATATGTAAATTCTAAAATGCTTCCAAAAACTCCTATATAATACCAATATAGTTAAAAAGGGTCCCACTTTACACAACAATTCTTTAATAAAACTATACAACTATTATTATACTGCAATTTTGTGATAAAATTCCCTTATAATCAGAGTTGAAAAACACCTAAGAATTAAAAAATATATAAGTAGTTTTTTAGTTTTTTTAGGTTTTTAAATTTTTATAGGTTTTTACGGTTTTTAGTTCATAGGTACATGTCAAAAGTTATTGTCACTATCATTAATATCAATATCAAGAAGGAGTGGTTATAACCTTTGAAGAAATGTTTTCATTTGTTTTTATATACACTCATTTTTGCAGCCTTTCTCCCAAGAGTTGATTAGTAAAATTGTGAATCCTAATATTTATTTAAAGTGGCCTAAGAAACCTAAAATTGCAGAATTTTCACTTTTAGATTTTTTTTTAAATGTATTACAGTACTACTAAAAAATATTGTATAGTGATATTATAAATATATTTTAAGAAAATTTATATTATTGCTATAAAAATATTTCATAATCAATTTGTTTTTTAATGATTACTATTAAAAAACATTATCACATACGTTTTTACTTCCATCTATAAAAGGGGAAGTATTGTAATCGTGAAAAATTCAGCTTCCGAGATTATTTCAGAGTTTCACGTTTTAGGCACCAAACATGTTTCCCCTTTCCGTCGTTCTGTGTGTCGCCTGTCTGTCTGTTGGCGCGATAGCTCAAAAACGGATTCAAGTTTTATTTATTTATTTATTTATATGGATAGCAAAAAAGTCCGGCAACAGGGTATTTTCACTAGTAATACCACTAGAGGTCAAATTATTTCCGGAAATTTTTTCGAGCTCATGAATATTTTGAAAATTTCCCGAGTCGCAGACGAGGTGTTAGTTTAATATTTTTTGTTTAAATAAGATTTTTAAATGTTTGATTTTCATTACGAAATTTGAGAAAACAGATTAGTTATTACTGAATGTAACTGTTGTTCTTTAGCTATATGGGTTTATAATGCACGTCTATCCTATAAAATATTTAAAATAGAGTAAACTAACATCGTTATAAATAAACTATTAAAAACAAGTCTTATATTTATTGTATAAATTTTTTATTGTAATCTAATAAATTAGTTGTGTTATATGCCTAAATAAACTTTTATAGGTTATATAAAATTGTTTTTAAGGGCCGAAATTAATAGATTATAGAATAAGTATAAAACAAGAATTAAAATTTTCCACAAATCTTTTATAACCGTTTTAGAAGTTATGTAAAACGTTATACAGCTCTGTTTACAACAAAACGTTATTTTTCTATAAATACTTATGAGCTGCGAGAATATTTACACAAAAATCTTATACAGATGTTATATTCTCTCAGGATATTTTTTTTGTATTCAGGCTCTCTAAGAAATTAAATTGTTCTTTAAATAACATTATCCAATACCTATAAAACTAAATGCTTTTATAAGGCATTCATTTTGCTATGAAGTTATAATAGATAGATAAGCTTGTCATGTTTTGACATTGCTTTTGTAACTGTAAATTAATGAGCTGTCATAATTTATTCAATCGTGATGTAATCTTTTGAATACAACTTTTAATATCAGGACTATGGATAATCACAGAATTCAATACAGTCAACATGTTGTCTTTGTAGTCAAATCAACGACTAAAAACTACTAGACTAATCCATTCATAATTAAGACCTTTTGTATTGCAATCATACAGATTGTGTTTATTATTACGCAGACAGTGCTGTCCCATTAGAAAGAAGGTGATAACTGCTAATTTGAGTCGGGACCTATATATGAAGACGAAGTAATTTTTTAAATTATCATTTTCGTTTACCTATAACCGGTACATCTACAAATGTTTCCTCCAAACGAATTTTCAACCTCCTCCATGGTCAGATCCGGTTTGGTTTCTTTCAGTGCATGCATGTTCATTATCATTCCAGGTGTACAATATCCGCATTGTGTACCATGGAACTTGGTGATGACGCTCTGCAATTTACTTGGACAATCGTAAGTTCCAAGGCCTTCTATTGTATAGATTTCCCATCCGTAGGTCGAGAAAATTGAAACCAAACACTGAATAAACCACAAAATAATGTATTAAATAATGATGACATTGGCGGTTTATAAGGAATGGTAAATATTTTAACCATAGGTTCAGAATCTTAATACAGGGTGTTTTCTAATTGAATGTTATTTTTTAAAGTGGAATAAAGAGAAATGTGGTACCTCAAAAATGCCTCTTACTGCCTAGTACCTGTATACAATATTTCATTAAAATATCTAGATTGGTATTATAGATATTATTAAAAAATTATTTATTTTTAAAAACTTTAGCACACCCTGTATCTTAAAAGTTAGGAGATTTAGGACATACGCTTGTTAAAAGGGACCCAAAATAATCACCCCCTTAACACCCTGTATACCTATATCAATCTGTAGCTAAATATCACTTGGGTAAAACAATATACTGTTGATATACACGGTGTTAAAGTTAAAATTTTGAGATTATGGTTAAAATATTTACCATTCCGTTATAATCCTTCCAGGGGCACAAATTTAAAGAATTCCTGTGTAATATTAAAAATTTCATTTATTTTCATTAATTTCATTCATTGTATTATTTGAATAGTGTAGGTAGTTGAAAACATTAGATATTTCGACTCTTTATTTATACTATTTAATTTTCTTTACTACCCACCACTGCTTATTTACAACTGTTCATTTCTACAAATGAATAAAAAATGTATTATTTATCTTATTTACTGATCTAATTATTATTATTTATCGTTCTAGGTTCTAGATTTAACGGAATATTTTTATAATTATCTAATAATTAAATAGTAACAAACTAATAATTTGCATTCCTTCCGAAAAAAAGGGTGGATATATTTAAAGATTTGCCACACGATGTATTCCTGGCATTCCTGCCCTATCTACAACACGTAAAATCATGAATAAGGGATTGATTTTAAATGTTTTATCCTAAATAACTGCCCATTTTATGTCGAAAACCATGAAAATGTCTTTTGACCCGTAGACCGACCGGCCCAATCTGACACTGCAATAGGTATTAACGTCTGTATAAAGGTATTAATTTGTATTTTACATACCTACATTGATATAGAATGATTGATTGATAATTTGAGATTGGATGCGATTTATATCGTCGCCGTGGATACGTCTGCTTATTGGGATTATTTTAATTTATGTAACAGGAATAACTATTATAGCGGTTGATCTTGTCAAAATATCATAACGATAAAGATTAGAAATTAGATTGGCCAAACATAATTCAACAACAATAACTATTTTTTTTTTTTTAATAAATGTGGCAAAAAAAAATTGAATAATAATTTATACGAGGATAGTTTGTAGGTAAGTTTAAATGAGATGGAAAAATCCTGCGTTTAAAGATACCTCAGGATGTTTTATTCATAACGCTTATGCAAAAATGTGGACGGTCTTGATTGGAAAATAGGTAGATAGGTTCTAATTTGATATAGCCTTGAAAAACATCCGAAACTTGTAATGTTTTATTTTCTAACAATATAATGATGGGTTGTTTACTTGATAGCAATTGAAAATCTGTTTTATGAATTAATTACCAGCAGATTTCAATATTTAATTATTTATTTATCTATCTTCGAAAGCTTGGGAAAATACCCAATTAACATCGAGAGGAAGTATCGTAGACAAGACATTATCATCATGTCCGATAGCCAAGCAGTCATCAAAGCGCTGAGCTCTTACGTAATCAGCTCAAAAATGGTCTGGAGATGCCTAGAACAATTGAATGAGCTAGGCGAGAAAAATAGAGTTACTCTCACTTGGGTCGCGGGACATAACGGGGTACAGGGTAACGAGATTGCAGATATTCTCGCAAGGAAAGGGGCTCAAACACCCTTTGTAGGACCTGAGCCGTTCTGCGGTATCAGCAGTAACATAATATTAGGAGAGATTAAAAAATAATTGGAACAATCTCTTGGGGCTGAGACAGGCTAAGATACTTCTGGGTGAATATAACCAGAAAACATTGGAAACCTGGATCTGCCTGAGTAAGAACAGGCTACGTATTGTAACAGGGATCTTTACTGGGCATTGCCGACTAAAAGGACACTTTATTAAACTGAGAGTAGTAGAAGATAGTGAGTGCAGATTCTGTAAGCAGGAGGACGAAACCTTCATTCACATTCTAACTGAATGTGTAGCACTCCAGAATCCAAGGGCACTATACCTAGGAGCATATCAAATAGAAGAGGGAGATTTACCTAACTTGAAGCCACTCCAATTCCTGCACTTCCTTGAGAAGATAGGATTGGAAGGGTCGTTATAGGCATTGAGACATAACATAACATCTATAGGTATAGGTAATTACTATAAATAAATACCTACTAAACAATAGTTTTACTTACTGAATTTACGGCAACAGTTTCATATTCTCCTGTAACATTATTTTTTCTTTTTACCGCTACCACGCATGTGCCACAGCCGCCTTCCAGGCACATGCGCTTTGTACCGGTCAGATGAAGATACTCCCGCAAAAAACTGTTAAGTGTTGTTGACGGTGAAAGTTTATTCGCGTCAACTAAAAAAAATTGTTTTAAAAGTGACATAATGACTGTGATAAATAGAAAAAAATTGTGACGATTCATGATATTATAAAGACTTCATTTCAATAGTAAAGAGTAAATATGTAATACACATTAATATAGTGTTTTATTCTAACAAAATACCTAAAAAATGGAAAGAATCTAATGGTACCTCATTTTTTTAAATCTGAAAATATCACAAATTAGACTATATCTGTGATTAATAATTTTGAAAAATGAGAATATTAGATATAATTTTTATATACATAATATTCTAACAAACATGCAATTTTACTACCAAAAATGTCATAATGGATTTTCTGAAAAAATCAGTTGAAAACTTGGAGGATTTATCAAAATGCGAACTGTCTACTACTGAAACATAGTCCACCTACAAGTTTTTATTTTTTAAAGCTTAACGTGTTATTCATTTAAATGGACGATTATTTTAATTTGACCAAATGATTTAAGATTGTTATGAAAATATTAGACAACTTACTTTCGTGATATGTTCCATTTATAATAACACTGAAATTTTCGTGCCTAAAAAGGACAGAAAAATACCTATGTAAAAACGTATTAAAATGTGTCAATAAAATATATACAGAGTGTTTCAAAAAAAGGTGGGTCCCGTTACTAGGTTAGGTAGAGTACTCAAAAATAAGTGGGGTGAGATTAGTGAAAAATTGTCCTAAGGATGATGAAATTTTAAGATTTTTTGTTTTTCTTCATAGCTCCTGCGGTTTTTGAGATATTTACCTCAACTTTAGATTATGCTGTAGGGCTTATATCATTAAGCATGTCAAATGTTTGTGAGAATTTACAGGGTGATCTCTTTCAGAGGTCATGCCACCTTTTCTTGCCCTGAACTTTTTGTGGTGCGTTGCTGGGTAGAATGTAAAATACAAAATGAATATTTTCTCTTTGGTTTAGATACTTTTTGGTATTTTGTAAATAAAAAATCGATCAATTGTAATTCGCTTAATGCAAGTAAAATTTTTTAAATAGTTTAGTAGGATCTGGCTTTATTGTCGATAATATTTCTTGTTTTAATTAATTAAGTCGCCCAAGAGCACCACTGCAAATAATAATATACGTCAGCTTTTGGGGTAAAAATTCCCTCGTAAGAGGGAGAATTAGGGAGAGTATTATTATTATTATTTATTTTTTTTGTGTCATCGGCATCAACTATTAAGGTTATTAGCCTCGTGTTCTGTGTAGGCTTTGTTACTGTTTCCCAGCACCACTTTAGGAACAGCACTGTTAATTAGAACCCAACAGTGAATGGTCGAGTGGGGAATCCTACCAAGGCATCAGAATTAATTTTAAATAACTAAATAAAAAAATCCCGGCCAACGGTGGGATTCGAACCTACCACTGAGTCACCCACCCACCATTATTATTTATTATTTATTATTTTTTTTGTGTCATCGGCATCGACTACTACGGCCATTAGCCTCGTGTTCTGTGTATGCTTTGTTACTGTTTCCCAGCGGCACTTTAGGAACAGCACTGTTAATTAGAACCCAACAGTGAATGGTCGAGTGGGGAATCCTACCAAGGCATCAGAATTAATTTTAAATAATTAAATTAAATAAAAAAATCCGGGCCAACGGTGGGATTCGAACCTGGGATCCTTGGATCCACAGGCAGAGACTCTACCACTGAGCCACCCACCCCTTTATTATTATTATTATTATTATTATTATTTTTTTTTTTTTTTGGTAGCTCGATATATATCGGTGTGTTTTTACAGGCATGCATCGGCCTTCACGGCAAGACACATGTTCTGCGGTAACGTTTCTAGAAATGATCTGACTATATGTGTTGTGTCTATGATTACCGACTTTTGCATTAGGTGGTAAGTATTTGCTGGGACACCCAGTTTTAATAAGTTTCCTTGAAGGTTTATAGGTACCAGTTCCATAGCAGAGATAATAAGCGGGATAACTTCTACGCGTTCCAATTTCCAAAGGCCCTTGATTTCTCGACATAGCGGTATTTGTCTATTTTTTTATTATTATTATTATTATTATTTTTTTTTGAGTTTTCCGCGCGACTCGTAGAAGTACCAAAAACGAAAATGCACTTTTCGTCCATTTTTCATGCATTATTTTTTATTCGAATGTGCTTATAGATATTAAAATAAATGATAGAAAATTAAATCCAGAATGATATTATTTTCAATTTTTCTCAGAATTGAGATGGCTGTGATCGATAAGAATAGCTGGGGTGCGTTCAGAAATGTAGGGTAAACGCGTCCGGACGTTGCCTAAACTCTAAAAAGCGTTCCTAAATATGGAACGTTTTATCTGGACGAATTACCCCAGCCGTTCCTATTTAAAAGAAAAACGCATCGGGATGAAGAAATTTTACCCATCGTGTTGAATAGGGTAATTTTTACTCGACTTGCGCAGTATGTCATAGCCCTAATTAACCTAAGAGAACCACCTAGTATTTTATTTCCTATTTTTACTTTTTGAGTAAAACATATTTAAATATGAGTATGGTGAGAGAATTAATTCCATTTAGTTGTCAGAAACGACGGTAATTTTATTATACAAAATGATAAAATTTTATGACACAGGATTGAAGGTAATGAATTGAATTTTTACATAAAAAAGTCTATGTGGACGTCAATGATGTTACCTATTTACTAATTTTTGATAATTCCTACAATATCAGATAACAGAAAAGACATAACCAAAAACTTGATTTGACAATACTTTGCAATTACCGTTCGTATTTATCGGGAAAAAATAAACGTTCCGGCGAGTTTTGTCCGGACGATTGAAAATTTGACGCTCTCCATTTCTGAACGCACCCCTGTATATTCTCGATAACAATTGAACAATTAATTGCTGTTATGTCAGTGTGTTCATGTGTCCAATAGATTTAATTAAAGTTTATTTGGTTTTCTCTTATATTCAGTTAAAAATGCTTCTATTCAAATTTAATGTTTAAATTTTATTTTTTTTTTTTAAGAAATATGTAAATACGTAAATGATTTGTTATTATAGAAAAATTGATAATATTTATAAGTACTCACAGTTCCATTATGTAAAATTTGCCACACAACAACGAATGTAACAAATAATGAATGTTAAAAAATGTTGGGATAGGAAACAATTTGAATGTAACTAATTGGTTTTGATAACAGGGCAGGCTTAAAGGATTGAGCGCATAATTTAGAAAGAAGAAATTGCGAGCAATTAATTGCAAGATAATATTTTTTTAAACTAATTTATATTGTAATTTATATTGTGCCGATCACTAATTTAAAATGTACGTTCATAAAGTGTGGAAACTCTCTATTATCTTACAAGTTAATTATTTTCCGAGATAAAGTTCGATTTATTGTTTAAGTTTCCTACCTTTTCAAAACAAAATAATTTTTACCCCACTTTTTTGCAAGATATGATGTTAACGATATTCTTTTTTAAATTTTTATATCAAAAATTAAAAGCTCATATTTTTCAATCATTCCACATACGGCATATATCATATGCAACCCTTTGAGTTAAAGTATACTGAGTATAAAAGAAACTAGAGCTTATATGTCTTAGACTAGATTAGATTTTAAAGGAGTTGGACATTTTTGTCCTTGGCCATTGCGACCTTTTTAGATCTATTGTGGGACTCCGTTATTTAAAGTATGTCGTGTCTAGCTTGATCTTTTTTTTTTATTAAACTTAATAGTTTTGACAGTGGCTCCCGCACATCAATCTAGCACATACTGGCACAGCACTTGGATTGATGTTTCCGTTTTTTTTTCTCACAGAACCTGCACAATATTTCTTCTGTTGGATTGCTAACAATCATGTGCCTTCTTAGGCATACAGTGTCCGGTAAGAAGACCTACTGTCATCCTAACGATTTCTGGTCCAGTAGGTCTTTCGGAAACTTGGCCGTCGGTTCCTTAATGAACTCTTTACGGCCTGTCTCCACTATTCCTGAGACTCTTTTTGCATTCATTGTTTGATGGATGAAAATGTCTTAGTTACTCAACTTAATGGTTCGGTGCCTGTCATGGTCTTCTTGGACTTGCTCTACAGCCTTTTTATTGTCCTGGAAACCAGGCTAAGGTTACTTTGTTTTGACTACATACTTAGCTGTATCAGGTCTTCTCGGCAGGGCCGACGAGAGGAGGGGGTAGCCGGGACTATTTCTTGGGGCCCGGGCTAAAGTGAGGGCATGGTAGCGACATAAGGGGGGCCCAGCAGCTTCAGGCGAAGACTTTGTTTTTATTTTGTTTAGAAGTTCGCCACAAGAAGAATAAGGAACTTTTTTTTAGAGATCTCACTCGAAAGATGAGAATTTTTTACTTTAGAAATGTGATATTGACAGGGCTTAATTTTTTTATAACATTGTCGCGGGGCCGGACCTGGAAAATAGTCCCGGGGCCCGACCTGGCTCTTGGCAGTCCTGCTTCTAGACAGTCTTTCACCAGTCGTGATTTGATTTCTGGTGAATTCCATTTGGTGCTGCTTGGCTATCAGAGTAGTTGGCAATATTTTTGCCTAATACTTGCTGATTTATTATTTCTCTTGCACAGTGTTGTATTGTTATTAGTTCAGCCTGGACCATTGTTGCATTTTCTCCTCAACACAGCAAAATCGTTGTTCATGGCTTGTGTTTAAAGGTTCTTGCACCGGCTCCCCATACAGCACACTTTATTTCAGAAATGTTTAAGAAATATTTCAAACGTTTCAAACATTATCATTTCAAGCACAAATTTCTGAAATATTTTAGTTAAATATTTCACTGAAAATGTTTCTGAAACATGGTATACATGTTACACAAAAGGTTACTAAACAGGTTATTTTGTAAAAGGCCAACAATTAATGAAGAATTTCTGATTTGTAAGAAGAAGATGGAATATGTAGGTATTTTATTTTATCATGTCCCTGTCCAGCCCCCAGCTAGAAACAAGCCAATATTCTAAATATTTATAGATTTGAGTTGTTGGTTTTTGATAGTCATGATATGTGAACTTGTTATATGGGAAGAAGAATATGTCTTTAGAAATTAAGGTGAGAATTACAAAAATATTGCTTGCTTAGGTGGATCTTCTTCATGTTTTGTTTAGACATGAGTATTGTTTTATTATAGTTAATTTAAAACAATATTAATAAAACTATTGTTAATCAAATAATTTGTATAAATCCTTTTTAATTACCTATATTTTGTTTCAGATTAGTGCATTTAAAGGAATTGGTGGAAATGAAGCAATTTGCCAGCTTTGGGACTGTGTCAGTAAAAATAACATCCAAGTTATTCAACGTTTCCAAAATAAAGTATTAAGGAACATCGTCGATGCATCCTGGTACTGCTGCAATACTGATTTTCATAGGGACCTTAAAGTTTAGACTGTTGAAAATACAATACAAAAATTTGCCAGTAGTCAACAACAACGACTGCTCCAACATGGAAACCTTGGATTATCCAGCTCCTCAACAATGCCAATCTAATAAGACGTCTCAAGAGAACCAGGCCTTTTGAATTAGTTCAGTGATGTTATATTAAAACAGAGTATAGAGCGGTTAAGTGTTATACGTTAACCGTAGTATAACTAAATAATTAGACTCTAAAGTACGCTATATAGTGAGTAGAATCTTAGTTTATGAAGTTTTTCATTCTTAGATAAGTTATAGGTAAAAATAAAATTGCTAATTGATCTTAATGATTAGATTATAATAATCGTAAATATTTCTTTACTTGGAGCGTTTATTAAAAAGAACTAGTTGATTCAAATTAGTGTATTTAAAGGAATTGGTGGAAATGAAGCAATTCACTTGTATATTTTATGAAATATTATTTAAAACATTTATTTATTTGTTTGTTTAAGAATCAATATTTGAGTTTTGTGTATTTTAAATAAACATGTATATTCTTAAATGTCTTTTTTTTTAGTCTAATAATATATTAGAAGAAAAAACTAGAATACATTTTTGAAATCTTACTATTTAATATTTCTAAAAGATTTATAATTTTCATTTCAAAAGTATTACTGTGAAATATTATATTTAGAGGACATTTTTACGTTACAGGCATATTTCAGAAATGTTTCTGGGATGTTTCGTAATATTTATACAACATTTTGTGCTGTATGGGTCCTTTCTTTCCCCATTCCTCCGACTTCCCCCCGCCTACTTCCTCTGCCACACCTAAATGGTAAGAGATAGAAAATAACTAATAGTGGGTCTACAAACCCCGTCTGAAACGATTTTAAACCGCCCAACTTCCCCACTTCTGCCCCCCACCCCAGTGGAGGTCGATATATAGAACTGATAGACTTAGGAAAATGAACTTCGGGTAAGATGGAATAAAATTTAAGGTCAGAAAAATGTCATCCCCTCCCAACCTCTACCCCCTTGCTTCCATATAAAAAAAGTTTAACTTTTTTTTTTCGAAATTAGACTCGAAAGTCGTAGTAACAAATATAATATAAAGTAAACGGAAAAAATAAAAAGTGTCAAGAAGAAGAAATGACAAGAAGAAGAAATGTCAAGAAGAAGCAACGTCAAGAAGGAGAAATGTCAAGAAGAGAAGAAATGTCAAGAAGAGGAGAATCTCTTTAATCAGAACTGTTACAAAAATGTATTTCATATTATTAATTGAGGGATTTTAAATTGTGAGTTACTGTTATTTTATTCAATTATTTTTTTTTATTTAATTAAGATGGTACTGAACTATATTGTATTGTAGGTACATAAAAAAGTTTATGGTCTCAGATATACAATGACCGAATGTATAAGAACAAAAAAAATGTTAGAAACATACAAATGCATATTATACATGTTTTTTCTCAAATTTTTAATATTGATTAGGGTCGAATTTCGACCACTGAGCGAACACTAGTATTCAGAAAATAGTAACTTACATTTTTAGCGATAAGATTTCTTTTATTTCCCTACTTTTAATAAAACAATAATAATAGTTTATTGGCACGAGAAATCACAGTTTACCCCATAAAAATAATTATATAACACTAAAAATAGTTTAATAAAATAATAAATAATTAAGTTTACAAACACACTTAAATAATTAAATTTATAAAAGCATAATAAGCAGAAAAATAATTATCTACGCCACTGGAAACTTGCAAATACTCAAACTGACACGGCTCCGTCGCAAATAAGACCAGCAGGTTGCGTATTTTCTTTACCTTCAAATGTTGCCGCTAGGGAGCAGCTCCAATCAGTGCCATAATTAAAAAAAAAATTATATGCATTACTGCCACATACTTTGATTTTCAAAGTATGTGCAGTAATAGAAAATTACTGCAAAAAGTAGACATTTGAAATTATAGTAATATTAAGGTAGCTTTATTATCTGTAGACTTATGTAGTTAGATTTTTAAAAAATTATAAATTTAAAAACTTTTTATTTTTATCTTAGAAATATAGCTCAAAAGCAAAATTTTAAAGAACAATACAATATTTTATGTAAAACGTGTCTTCAAAATTTCTTTCATGTCTTTCAAAATATATATGCAGCGTTCATTTGCAAATTAAGGTGGGGTATGTATTCCTCTAAATAACTATTTTCAGTTTCTATTGTCAATAATACCTAGCACATTACGCATTCATTTATTTACTAATATTTTTAATTTTTTCCATATTTTTCAATTTAATAAAAAATTAACTTTTAGCTTCAATAAAAATTTTGGTGGATAAAACCATCTATACCACTGAATTCCCCACCAGTGGAACTCGACAAAATTTATCCGATCTAATAAGAAATTACACAACTGTCCGATGTTTAGAGGTCATTTTTGGAATATGGAGGATAGAGGTAAAGAGAACTGCCTCTGTATACAAAAAGTGTCCCTCAAAATGTATAAAATTAAGATGGCGCTTCTGTACCAGAGGGACGCCGATAGTCAATAATTCAGATCACACAATGACACTAATGAGGTATATAGTTATATATATATACTGCTCACCCATATGTATGGAGAGATATGCTCGAATGATATATCCTAAAAACATGAAAAGTCATCGTGAAAAGCGACTAAGCTTATAATCGTAGAGAAATTTTGACGACAATAGTGATTTTCGTCGTCTGATTTACATAAGGGTGAGCTATCTATATAACTATATATCATTGGATATTTTCCTACTAGTATACGAGCGCCATCTTATTT